GGGAGGAATCCAATTATAAAGACTGGAAAATGGGAATGATTTTGGGACTAGAGGAGAGCGTGATAAAAACGGACGGATGAGAACAGGGTTTGGAGGGGTCCTCGTGAGGATGGCGAGGTTAATGTGGAGATTTTTGGGCTGTTGGGCACTAAGCTGATATTGGACAAGTTTGAAAGAATGGAGTCCATGGAGCTTGCTTCTGAGTAAAGTTACTAGTGAAAAGTAGAGTACATATAAAAAACTACCGGTGATTATACAGAGGGTTTTGGTTCACATTATCCTCCACTTAGAATGAGAAGGTTCTGTGTACTTCTTAGATATTTACGTTTAGAGTTTTGACAATTTGTACATTATAAATAAAAGAGAAGCACATGTATTTGTGAAATTGGGTGTTCTGGGAAGTGGTCATTGGCAGATAGAACATTCTAATTCTGAAAATGCATCATTCATTTGTCAATTACAACATGCCAAAAACACAGGATTTTGTTCCTCTCTTCAGTTTTAGAAAACACTCTGCACATTTAAATGTCAATTGTGAAAGTCAATTGATTGTTTAACTAGTAAATGTGAAATTATTAAGCCACAGGTGTCAAACATAAGGCCGGGGGCCAGATGCGGCCCTCCAAGACCTTTAATCTGGCCCTCGGCTGATTTTCTACTTTAAATATTTTAATTAAAATATTGGTAATTTTCTGCGGTGCTGAGCATAGCAGCGTCTCCAGTGCCTCTGTACGTGGCCCCTCCCACCAGAGCAGCACAAATGAAGACTTGTCTCTTTCCAAACGCTCTTAAAGGACGATCGTTTTGACTGTTGACCGTGACACCCTCATCAGAAAAATGTCAAAAATGAGAAAAGTGGAGCCGAGTGCAGGATTTTCCAAGAAAAACTTTACTTATTCCTATGTGCATACAAGTTCATGTTAAAATATTGTGTTGAAATTGCATTTTTCTTAAAGTTTCAGGTTCTTCATAATAATATAATATTTTGTAAAAGAAAGAGTTCATTTAAGAAGATTTTTAGTTTAAAAAATGTTTTGTTTCAAAGGTCTTTAAAAAAATTTCTGTAATAGATTTGCGTTTCTCTGCACAAATATTTGAACTTATTGTTATTTTTGGGGTTTATATTCCATGAGTTTTCTGATCTGGCCCCTTTGGGATCAAAGTAGGTTGGATATGGCCCCCGGACCAAAATGAGTTTGACACCCCTGGATTAAGCATTGCCTGTTTATGATCATGAATATAAATACACATACACACATATTATTCAACAGTTCAGGAATAAATTGCATTTTCTTATGTCTATCTTTGTTTATTTTTTGTTTCCTAGACTTGAAATCATCTGTAGTTAATTAGCATTCTTGTAGATAACAGAATTATACATAGTAAATGGTAAATAGTCACGTTTTTATATAGAGCGTTCCACATTCAAGGCACTCAAAGCTCTTTACACCAGTGTACGCAGACACTGGGGGTGAGGTGGGTTAAGTGTCTTGCCCAAGGACACAGCGACAGCATTCGTCTGCGGGAGCTGGAATCACACCAGCCAACCTGTGGGTCAGTTTATTTGACCGCTCAACCAATGATGTTTATTTTGAGAGCGGGATTCAAACAGCCAAGCTTCAGCTCAGTGGACAAACCCTTTACCACAGGGGTCTCCAACCTTTTTCCTCCAGCGAGCAACCTTTACAAAACGAAAATGACAGAGAGCTACCTATTTTAGTGGGATAAGAAACTGAGTATATATAAGAGCCATGGTGCGCCTTAGATGAGGTACAGTTAGATGCATACAGTATAAAACAAACCATTATCCATCTATTGGTGCACAAAGTTAAGCATCAAAATGAAAATAATCAAACTTTACTCATTCAAGCTGAGTTACTGCCATCCTATATTTACCCAAAACATTTTAAAATTCACATTAAAACTTCAAATTATGTCACTCAACATACATAAAAATGTATGTGAAATTAGGGCTATGTTCCAAAGCAGTTGACTGTGACTGGCCAATTTTCTTCATAAAATCCTCACAAAAGCACTAAACTCTTTCAAGTGTTGATATAGTGTACAAAAGCACACAGGAACAAGAATAAGAATAACTCCATTTGGACAAAAAAACTAAACAGTGGCAAAAATAACTATTTAGTGAAAGATTTTTTTTCAGTTTTCTAAATAGTTTTACAGCAATTTTTTTTTAGCTTGTTTTGAACAGTTTCACTCCTCACTACAGCAGCTGTTGAGGTCCACGTGCCATCTGCTACTTTTTTTTTGTATGTTAAAAATGGGTTTCTAATAATTATTTTTCATTTTTATTTTTAATTATGAAATGTTTGATTCCTCTTGCATTTGTAGAAGTTTAAGGACTTTTAAAGTGCCCATATTACGTAGATTTAGGCTGAGTTTTTCTTTCAAACTGAAAACTCTCCTCACAAGTTCTACCTTGTGATGTCATGTGGTGATACCGTAAGTGCTCCACTGTGTTTTTAAACTCCATACACCATGAGTAGAATCATTTGGATGATTACAGCCCTGGAATTTGCAATCTCTACTGAACGAAAGATAAAAGGAGGTGTGCTTTGAGCTTTGGAGATAAAAACAAAAGGTTTACTCAAACGTCTGAAACAAAACACAACTTCAGGTCTGTTTATGAGGAGGTAAGAACATTCTAATACGTCTTAAAGCTCACAAGGGTCAATTTTGTGTAATGCAAGACCTTTAATACATCTTTAGTTTGAATCACAACTCTGCTGTCTATATCTTGCAGAGAATATATAGCAATAATGAATGAAAATATTACTTATATTATGTTTTCAAAATTGGGATCAGCTTGGGAAAGGCCTTATGCAATTTAAAATGGCACACACAGAAACTAACGCTGAACATTTGCAGTTTGATTTGTGATAATAATAAGCTTCTCTTCAAAGGTCACATGAAGTATTCACAAAAAGATTGAAATGTTAAAGGTACACTGTGTCACTTTTTGGTTCGGGGTCCATCACTTGCTTGTTTCTATGGATACATTCATTGCTCTGCTTGGAATGTTCCACAATATGACATTAAACAGCTCTACTTTACTTTTGTTCAATTACAAGTGGTTTTATAGCTCAAATATACCTAGAAAAACAGGTATTCTGACTATGAGCGAGGTTGCTTCTCCACAGATCTGACCTGTAACTTGGTCTGGTTTGGTCTCCATGAAGACGGAAAGCCGTACTGGGTAAAATTCCAGATGAAGCAATAACATCTCCACGGAAAAATGCATTTGACAGACCCTCCACCGGAGAAGTTACACAATGCACCTTTCACAAACTAAAACAAGAATCAGATTTGAGAAGAAAATCTAAACTACACGGTCTTTGAAAAAATGGCAGCTGTTGTGATTTGCTAGTTGCGTCCATTCAAATTTCGATTCGACTGCGATTCATCTTGCAGTCCTAACAAAAACACTACAGAAACTGCTCATACAAAGCAAAACTAATTAAAAAAGTATGCCAGGAAAACTTTAAAGTACAAAGAGTCACGGCCCTAACTTCCAACCATCCCTAGATGAAAAAAGATAAGACCAAGGTGCGGACCATCCTTGGCAACGACATTTACTGTGAACTTTTGTGTCGTAGCAACAGAAGCAAAAGATGTTCATTATAAACATATCAAAGAAACAACAAACTCCGGGATGCAGTTCCGCTGGGTTCTTTAAATGTCATCATGCCCTTCTCTGTGTTTGCTTTAGTCAATAAAATACGACCCATGTTGACAAAACTAACTTCTGGATTCGGTTTCGGGGTTCAAAGGTCAAAGTAGGCTCTTCTCGACGTGTCCTGCAGGGTTCTAGGGGGCTATAAAGGTGACATTTGACCCCAAGTTTGACCCGGGGTGATTGTTTTAACCTAATGAACTCAAAGTCGACCAGTCGCTTTGGGACTTTTCTTTTTTATTGTGGCTCTCGATGGACTTGTAATCAACAGACTACCTACCGTTACGCAAATATTCTTTGTTCAGGGTTTCATTCGCACATGTTTAACACTCAAACCTCACGTATTTAGGCTGAGTTCTTCTCTCTGAACTGAAAACACTCTATTCCAACTAGTGATGTCATGTGGTAATACAGGAAGTGCTCCATAAACTCCATATTCACTTCACTAGAATCATTTGGATACTTTCAATCCTGGAATTTCTAATCTCTATTAAACAAAAGGTAAAAGTTAGTTGTTAACTTGAAAACTACTGCTTCATGACATCATAAGGTGGATCAGAGCATTTTGAGCTTTGGAAATGTATACAGACTAATAATTAAAGTGTTACTCAAACATGACAATGAAACAAAACTCAAATCCTGGTACGTTTTTGAGGAGGTAACAGCATTATAACATGAATTTGCATAATAGAATCTTAACAAACTTAAATGTCTTAAATGATAATTAATTAATTAGTAGAAAGGCTATGCCAGAGACAGATATTAAGGTGGAGAAAGCAAGAAACAATACAAAGTGATTGAATGAAAATGAATATATGCCTTTGTAAAAAATATTTAGAAAACCAATACAGCTGGAATAGAAAAGTTGATGAGTCCATAAACTGATCCCTGAGGTACTCCCAAAACAGCTTCCACAATTTTTACAACTAGATTGAATGTATTCTTTACTTGTGCAACATTGTTAGGAATTTGAAAATGTGAGCCATTCTATAGAAAATGCTCAGTTAAAAGTCTTATTTTTTCCTTTTTTTTAAAGAGAGGCCTTCTTTGACCCCCTCCCATGGACAATAACCATATCCTCCTACACAATAAGCTAAGACTTCGTTGTTGCATTGTTGCATAAGGACATAAAATACTCCACATATTTGACTGTATGTCCATGTGATGCACTTTACTCCCAATGCCCTGCACTGAACGTCTTTGAAACTCTCTGAAACTCTGCAGTGTTTGATTCTCTGGACGTCTTGTTTTCTATGACAATAAAGTCTTAAGTCTTATGTTTCTCTCTGTTTTTTGTGTGTTTCTGTAGCGTGAAAAGCTGATCCACGAGCTAGAGGAAGAGCGCCGCCTGCGTCTGGAAAGTGAAAAACGTGTGCGGGAGGTGACCGAGGAGTAGCAAGGACGGGCCCACATGGTGTCACTGCAGCAGCAATTCTCCAGGTATGGGGCATGACCGCATTTAAGATAACACACACATTACGGGTCAAATGCAAAGACCCTCAAGTCTGTCGCTGTGTCTCTGTTCATCACCACAGAACCACAGAGAATCAGAAGATGTTCTTCTGTGTGGGCTCATTTCGCTCTACCTCAAGTGGAGCTCACTACAGATTGCCTACTTTATTGTACAATAGGCTGTGATTTGCTTTAATGACATAAGATTGCATCACCTTCTTGGTCATTTCTTCCATTTGTTGCATTCTTTCTTCAGAGCGCATCTATCACAAATGAGCGTTCACGTAGCTGAATGAACGAGCCCTGCGCCTTCATTTTGTAAACCACCAGATGGCGCTACCCTTGAGAGAAGTTAAGGCTACCCAACACTGCGTCACTTACTTTATGCATTCAGAGCATCCTAATTATTCACCGCGATGGGTTTACGAATTTCACAACTTTCCAGAATGGAGTTTTGCTGTCACGGTAATGCTTACAGCCACTAGCATGCTAACTGTGCACTTCCTGATTCCATGAAAATAAAACGCAGTATCTATACCGGAGCCAGACAAACTTTGCTGAAATACATTGAAAAAAATTCGGTAGATGCTGTTTAAGATATAAGTCAATCTAAATAGAATTTTAAAAATCAACGGGCCAAATATTGAACCCTGGGGTGCACCAAAAATTTGCATACTTTTTACACTTTGAAGACATTTTGAGGAAACATTTAGTCACCATGATGAGTTTATAATTTTCACAACTTTCAGAGACCAGAATGGAGTTTTGCTGTCACAGTAATGCTTACAACCACTTGCATGCTAACCGTGCATTTCCTAATTCCATGAAAAAAACCCCACAATATCTGTACTGGACCCAGACAAATTTTGCTGAGATACTTTGAAAAAAATTGGGTACATGCCGTTTAAGCTCTAAGTCAATCTAAATAGAATTAAAAAGTCAACGGGCCAAATATTGAATCTTGGGGTGCGCCAAAAACTTGCATACTTTTTTACACTTTTAAGGCATTTTGAGGAAACATTTAGTCAACTTTCAGAGACCAGAATGGAGTTTGCTGTCACAGTAATATTTACAACCACTAGCATGCTAACCGTGTATTTCCTGATTTCATGAAAATAAAAGGTAATGTCTGTACCGGAGCCAGAAAAAGTTGGTTACATGCCGTTTAAGATATAAGTCAATCTAAATAGAATTAAAAAGTCAACGGGCCAAGTATTGAACCCTGGGGTGTGCCATAAGCTTGCATACTTTTTACACTTTGAAGATAATTTGAGGAAACATTTAGTGGAACCCTTCGGCAATGAATTCCTCACAGCAAAGGGAATTTCAAAACATGCTCGTATGACACCAGCCCATTCACTATCCATCTCTGCGCCCTCTGGGAGACTGTGTTTACGGCATATTCAGCCAGCGCTCCAAACATAAAATAGTGACCTTTGTGTTTGAGGGAAGAGCCGCCTCGTTAATCTACCCTCCAACTCCGCTGCTGTGCCCTGGTGAAGGCTGGCTCTGCTTCTGTGGCTACTTCACTATGAGAGATAAATATTGGACCACTTTGAGCTGTTATGCACTTAATTAATGCTGGGTTTTAAGTGGTCCTTTTAAATATAAATGTATATTATATATATTCATTTATACTACAAGGCCTTTTTACGTTGTGAATTGTACATCATTATATGTTTTTGGTGACACTGAGTGAGAGATAATGTGCAATAAGTTTGATGAAAATCTGTCAAAATATTATAATATCATAGAATATATGACTTGCACTATGCAACTTTTTACCTGGGGGTCCGTCACCTGCCCGTTTCTATGGAGATGCCTTTGCTCTGCCTGGAATGTTCCATTGTATGACTTTAAATTTCTACCTTACATTTATTCAGTTACAGGTGGTTATATAGCTCAAAAATTCCTACAAAAACAAGCATTCTGACTGTGAACTGGGTTGCCTCTCCACAGTAACTTGGTCTGGTTTGGTCTCCGTGATGACAGAAAGGTTTAATGCCATACTGTGAAACATTCCAGACAAAGCAATAACATCTACACAGAGACGTTATTGCTCTGTGAAGCACTTTGGAAACGGTTTTGTTTATAAAATGTGCTATACAAATAAAGTTGGATTGGATTGGAAAAGCATTTGATGGACCTTACACCAGAAAAGTTACACAATGCACAATTCAAAATAAGTAGCGAAAAGTAACAAGAAACTGGTGTCAAATAAGGCATAATTATAAAATGTAGAAGTACAATGTCAAATATAATGAATATTTGAAAGAGATACAGCTATATGTACTGTAAAAATGTTGTGGATGATTTTGTGCTAAATTTGATTCAAAAATCGGACCAAAATCATCCATACAAAAATATTGCAAAGATTCTGTATCGGCATTGGCCACGAAAGAAACAATATCGGTTGATCTCTAATCACTAATAGGGCTGAGTATCATTAAGAAGTTGCTGATATGATACATACCTCGATGCATAGGCCACGATATGGGTCATATCTCGATACAGTGCATTTTCAATTCGATACGATATATATGAAATCCATTCGATACAGTTAAATAAATCATGGGTGTGATACTTAAAGTCTTTGTTAAAACATGTCTTGTGCAAAGTGAATATGAAACACACCCATTTTAATGATCAAATCAGTGAAAATATCAAATATGTCGCAAATGTGTTTCCTTCCTCTAAACAATCAACAAAACTGTAGCGCTGTAGCAAAATAATTTAATAAAATTTACCAAAAAAAAAATGGTCTTGGAGATATATCGATACAGCAGCCCATGATACTGATACTGTATCATCACATTAAACAATACAATATATTGATATTTCGATATTTTTGCACACCACTAATCACTGATAAACCGATATTATAGTATAGAAACAAAAATGGATTTTTTTTTTCTTTTCTTGCTATAATACAATTTTTATACTTTTGCAATACAGGAAATATATAGAAGTTAATATGATATCTGAAATGTGCTGGGCAGATCATGTGACACCTCTGTGTAGAAGACTGTCATTTTCATCCAATCAGCACTTGAACTTCAGAAGATCTTTAGCTCTCCTCTCACCATCTGGGTTTAGCTCGTCTATGAACCTACAAGTGTTACAATCATACTGCTGTCACATGTCAGTCCAGTAACAGTGACAATTTAAATCATCTGCACTCTAAAGGTGCAGTATGTAACTTAAGTGTTTTGACTGCGTGGTATTAATTTATAAGTCATGTCTGTGGCAAAGCAACCACATTCACTGAAAAAATGCCTTTTTGAACAATACAATCACTGGTAATTCCGTAACTGATAACAAGATATATGTTTAATGCCATACTGTGGAACATTTAAAACCAAGCAATTACAATCAGTGTATCATTCGTTCATTTGTTAAAATAAAAATAAGAAAACAAAAAACTAACTATTTTCTTCATTATTTGTTTCCAAAACCAGTTTCATTTTTCGATTTTGTGTTTAAATGAATAATGGAAAAAATGGATAATGGTTTCCCGTTTCTGTGACTTAAACTGTGATGATGGACTTTTGCGCCACATACGAACTGAACCAGGACTGAACCAGGACTAAACCGGTCTCAGTCCTGGTCTGGTCCTGATCTCAGTCCTGGTCAGGTCCCAGTCTCAGTCCTTGTCTTAGTCCTTGTCTCAGTCTTAGTCTCAGTCCTGGTCTTGGTCTCAGTCCCACATCTTGTCTGGTCCCGGTATCAGTCCCGGTCTGGTCTCGGTCTCAGTCCCGATCATCCGATCAGTCCTGGTTTAGTCCTGGTTGAGTCCTGATTTAGACTAGGTTTAGACCCAGTTTAGTCCTTTTTTAGTCCTGTTTTAGTCCTGGTTCAGTCCGTATGTGGTGCAAAAGTCTAGCATCTCAGTTTAAGTCACAGAAACGGGAAACGGCCGTTATCCTTTTTCCATTATTCATTTAAAAACAAAATCGAAAATTGAAAAAACAAATCGTTATCCATTTTTTCATGTTGGTTTTGGAGACAAATAATGATGAAAATAGTTTTTTACTTTTTCTTATTTTTGGTTTTATTTTGAAAACCAAATGAAGGAATGATGGAGATGGATTAATAACATCTCCTTTGAGCCAGTACAAGAAAATATTACTTTGAAAAGATCTCTATACTGCCTTACACATATTTCCATATCAGCCAGCAGTCCATACATTACATGAGGTTATAAGCAGCCTCCAGTTGACTTTTCCTTTTCCTTTTGAAACCCGGGCCCATAAATCAATACAGCTCGCATATAAACTTGTCTGAAAGTGTTTTTGATTTCAAACGTGTGGCTGCCTGCACCTGCTCACGTCTGCAAAAGAGACGCAGCCATCTGACGCCTGTAAAACTAATGATATCGGTTCAAGATACTAACTGTGTTTTTTAAGTTCTGTTTTGTCATCAACTTGGCTTGTATTTTATAATTTTGTGAACTTTGGAAGCTTAAAAAAACAGCAGAATACAAAAAAATTACTTCTTCTGGACTAAAGTGATGATTTCTAGCTGTTACATTTAATTATCCATTGTTTTAAGGTCAACTTTTTATTTTAAGTGGATACATCCTAAAGGTGCAGTACAGGGTTTTTACTGGTTTAATAAAAGGTCTGCAGTGGTCCAAAGTTTTTTCTCACTTACTTTCTTACTTGATGAGTCTGTAAGTGCTTTTCGCAACTTTCAAGAGTCATGGTAATGCAGTTCATTATAATTAGTGATTCACTATAATTAGATGCAGACAGTACACAGCAGTGGACTTATTTTGACCTCAAAAGCTGCTTATAATATCTGGAGACCTACCGGTCAAAGCCTGATCTCGTCTTGGCTGGGAAAATCAGGTACCACAGAGGTTCAACAGTAGCTAAAAAAAAAGTTAGGTATGTTATGTAACGATATCTAAATCTCTTAGTTCAATATTTTCACGATACGCATCTCGTGGTACGATATTTATTGCAATACTTTGTGGAGGCGAACAA